AATAATAATAATATTTATAAGTTAATTTATTATTATTATTTTTTTCTTATTTTACGCGAGTACTGAGCATTCTTCGTGCCTTTATTTCCGTACTTTGCATCTTTTATTTTATTCCATTCCTGTATTTCATATTGTATTTCTCATTCAGTTCAGCCATTTGTTATAACAAATATTGATTCAAAAATTTGAACGAAATTATTTTTCGTTTCCAGTCCAATTTTTCGACAAATACGATTTCTATCTTCATCATTCTATTTCGACGATGTTAAATTTCACGTAACTTTACACCAAGATATTCAGTATTCTACTATACTTAAATTTTGGCAGTGCAGATGCGTTTATTATTGTTAATTCTCGATAAACAAAAAAAAAAAAAAAAAATCTCGCGAGAATTTTATCGGTACGACATCGAAATTACATTCACTTGGAGTATACAATACCTGAGGTTGTAAAACATGCCGGCAGTTAGTAAGAAGAGCATGTCTATGGGTACCATGATCGATGAAACGAAATCAATGTCCTCGATCCAGATGGAGAACATTAAACCATACGCTATAGCGCAAATCGCACTCGTCGATGTGAATAAACAGTAAAACAGAAAATTGAACAAATCGATTCGAGTGACTACCACGAAGTATATCACCGTTGTGAACATTACTGCCTGCAGAATAGCTTTCGGTATCTGAAAAATATATTTTTCTCAGATTTAATTGATAACGAGCGTGTGGAAATTATTGTTTTCCAACTTTTGCGAACAAAGTCGCATTACATATTTATCATTATTTATTTGAATTTATTTTAAGACTTTCAAGTTGTTACTAATTATGGAGTCACTAGTGACTATTAAAACTACAACTAACAATAAATATTTATTGTTAGTTACATATTTCATTGTTTATTCATTCCTTTCAATTTCAAATCCAATTAGTACGATTCACAACGAATATCCTCGACTATTTCTTGAAAATAGTCAGTCTTCTGCTCGTCGCAAAGCAAATACACGATTGGCGCAAGTGATTTCAATATTTAGAAAAGTAAAGGATACATGAGGAAATAAGTAAAAAATTTAGAAGATAGAATCATCTCACTTTTTGGGAAATAAAAATTTGAATATGTCTTGTGGAATACTAATAATATCCAAAGCAATAGTAAAATCAAATTTTGTTAATGTATAACATAAATAAATAAGAAAAGAGACGAGTCGTTCGAAATTTTATTAACTTCCAAGAGGAGCGAGTGCATTGCAATTCTTTGCAGTCTATAAATTTTAAATTAATTAAATTAATAATATTAGTTATTTTAATTAAAAAAATCTAAATTAATTACATCTATAAATATTAAATTAATTATATTTTAAATTAATAATTAATTGTATTATACGTTCATGTTATTACTTGAAGATTTGTACGATTCTCTAATATTGTTAAATGATGGCTCTAACGACGCGGAAGAAACTCCATTTTCATTTACCAATCAAACTACAATTGAAAGCAATTAAAATTGAAAAGACACAAAATGGTAATGTTCAGCAAATTTGAAAGGAGTAAGGATTGCTCTTACAATTAATCTACTAGGTATTGTAACACGTTTCTCATATTCGTGGTCAGATGTTTGTAATGGATTAGTAGCATTTGTGATTACAGTGAATACATGTTTATTTGCTATATAAAAGTGATAGTGTTTACCAGTCCGCAGAACGTGGCGACGTAGTAGGGCCCGCTGCCATAAACGCCGTCCTCGCGAAGATAGATCAGAAGTTGGCCAGGGAATTCGTAGATCACGGAATAGGCCACCGTGAACGAGACTTCAGAGCTCATCATGTACAACGCGCCCCTCACGTTCTGCACGCCCTCCTGCGTGCGTGGATTAATCCCCGTGTAAAAAGTGGCCACTGCCGCCATGGAGAGCTGCGATTAATTTCAATTACAACCACCTTCTACCTTTCATTGACCGAACGTCCGTAAATTTGCGCTTTTAAATCTTCACGTCGATTTTTATCATGCACGAATTCATGAGAAATTTAAAGGTAAAGCGAGACTGCACTCACAGTGTACAAAAAAAATATATAAATTATTTAAGCTCGAGTGTTTATTATAATGTAACAATTAGCAGGTGGAATGAATTGCTTTTTAGATTCCATTTTGAAAAATTGAGCAGTCTACTGATTGCTTTGATTGTTATACAAGTGAGCAATGTCCTCGGAGAATTATTATTTCTTTGCTTGAGTGAAACTCGTAATCGTGAGATTAAATTAGTATTTTAAAGCATGGATTAACAATTTGGATAATTATTTTTTACTCGGTGTTCCGTGAAGAGACAAATTTTACACTTGCTCCCTCAAAATTTATATTAATTTTATTTCATTTATTAGTAATATTTGAACTGTGACAAATATATCATATTTATTTAAATTAAAATATATTTATTCTCAGTTGTGTTTATTTAAAATTGAATAACTTTAACAAAAATAGATAAGGATTAGAAATGGATTTTCCTCAATTTCTAAACTCCTTTTGTTAATGAGGAATGAATGAATAATTGTTTTCCAGAAATACCTTTAATATTTCAAATACTTCTAAAACTAACATTATTACTTCAGATATGTAGTATATTTTTGCATATTGTAAAAATTCGCCAATAAATGCATGAAAATTCGTTGATTAAAGTAACTTACGAAATAAGAGATCCACGAAATCCATCCGTGAAACATCGTTCTCCGATTTTGGGTCCATATCCTCCACGTTAGCCAAGAAAATTGTATCGTGCATCCAGGTTTCCTACAAATTATTTCTACTGCAGAGAATATAGCCGTTTATATGTTTCAGTAAGTTTCCTCCCCTTCTTCTTCTCCTCTTTCTTAAAAAAATATTCTTTACTACCTTTCTTGGGGCTCGATTTCGAGATTTCTGGCATCGGTGATTTCGGGGATCCTTCGGGAGAAAGGGGATCGTGAGAATGCTCGACATATCTTATCGATAAGTTCCCCGGGTCTAGCGTCCTCGCAATTGAGATTTGTCGCGGACGTTTCCGGATTTCTTCGAGATAAGAGTTTTATGTAGTACTCAGACTCGTCGAAGCCAACTGGACATTCGTAACCTAGGCTGCGTTCGATCGACAGTTTGAACTTCACGATATTTCGAGAAAAACTTTTATTAGGTGTCAGTACGATATCTGGGGGAAATATAGTCTGACGTTTTAGCGTTACACGCGAAATGTAATATTTCAAAATTGACATTAAATTGATTCGTTTCGTGAAACAATATTTTATTATTTAAACATTTGAATATTTTTAAATAAACGTTAACAATTATTTCAGGCAATTTTTATTTCAGTAAAATTTATTTCGTCAGAAAAAATAATTAGTTGTTGGATGAAAAGGCAAATGTAAATTACAATATCTTTCTCTGGTACGAGGTAAAAAATACTAAACGGTTAAAGTTAGGGAAAACTGCATTTCAAAAAGTTTTCAGCTAGGAAATTTCAGTTTAACTCTTTTGGTTTTGATTAATTCTTGTTTGATTAAAATCTACGCGTTTAATTTAATTACTTCTGTGGCCAGGTGAAGATGAATCTCTTGCCTCCAAAGATTTATTTATTTTTTAAAATTATAATTTACGAGATAAAAGAATATCGTAGAAGTTAATTAATTACCTCAAGAAAAATCTTGTTGCGTCTTCCAGAGTACCAAAGTAACCTGTTCGTCCGTCAGATAATAATAATACGTGGGTAAAAAGACTGTATATGTCCATTCCTGGTTGATGAATCGTGCAAAAGATTATGGACTCCGTGCTTATGGCT